TTTAAAAAATGGTATTTATTATGGTTGGATACCAAGATTATTAAATGATATTGATCAAGGTAAAACTACTCCAACTAATTGGACTAGTGGTGTAAGTTATTTATTTATTATTATTCATGAATTGTTTATTTAATACATTGAAACATTGGACGACTGTTTCGTCCTACTATGGGACTCTTCCTTAACAGTGCGCATTCATGATCTCGCCTCGTGAGATTTGAACTTAAGACTTATCAGTCTCGTGGATGCGCACTGTCAAGGAGTCCCACAATAGGATGAAATGGCCGTCCAGTCCTTTCAGGTTTTTCATGGTGGTCTAAGTTCAATTGAATCATGATCTCAACTATTAAAATTAATATAATCTTCACGAAAACTCCTTCTGAACATATGAATAGTTTAAATGTCGGCGAAATAACAAAGTATACCACAATCTTACATTCTCTAAAGAACCATTGGATAACAGTTGGTTTTCTTCTTCTACACAAATGGGACGTTAATTTACCATAGACGAATATCTACACTAGATTCTCACTTCCTCCCAGTGTCTATTCTACAGGACTTCAATACAACTCAGATCAAGAACAGATGATTAGCATGACTATAATGTAAATATATTTCCACACTAAAAACCGACAACAATCCAATAACAATCAATGATTATCATTCTCGTTCACATATGAATCTCTTTCATAAAACATTTTACCAACGAGTACCTTGAACTGAACAAGTTTCACGTTGAATATAAAACTACCACTCAGTTGAATGTTCCATATTCCCTACTTTTATTAGCTAATGAATAGTTATTTCAATTTGAATTGAGTTAATCTCAATTGACATTAGTTTATAATACACAGTATTCTTCAGTGATATAAACGTTTCATATCCGCTAACTAAAAGGGGGAAGTTCAACTTCAGAAGAGGGGATGTATTCCATAACCAGCCAAAAGCACGAACAACAACAACAACAACAAGCAAAACTCAACCATACTGGAGAAGATTTGTAGCTCAGGTAGAAGTTTGTGCTGATGATGTCGTTCAGAAGAACGATGAAAGCTCCACGACCAAATTCAACCATTTATATACAGTATAAAAATGTCTTTAAGAAATATTACAAAATAAATATATTAAAAGAGACAACGAACCAATCATATTTAAAGTTTTCTTAAGCGGGAAATGCAACATAAAAGTGAAAATGGATGCTTTTGGCGCCAAAACAAGAAATTTAAATTTTCAAAATAAAATTACAAAAATAAGGTATTTACCAAGTGAGTTCTGGAATTCTAACAAATTGACAAACATAGATGCTTGAATGAAAATCTCATTGACTTGAATGGAAACATAAGAATTCTGAGTATAACTGAAGTGTTTCTTTAAAAAGTATAAAGAAATTTACTGGGAAAATCACTGTAAAAAAAGCAATAAATGATTAACTTTCAACAGCCTTATGAATTCCGAGGGGATGGTTCACATCCCAAGACTTCGACCTAAAGGTATGATCCACAAGATAATGGAACAACGTAAGAAGATCTAATCCCATGTGTAGCCGGTCACTAATAATTGGTTTATACGCCATTTGTTCCTTCAGGATCCTAGAGCTCATGTACATTAATGGTTTAGAATCAGGGTTTCCCAAATCCTCTACATGGATCCTTTATATCCAGCAAACCGGTTAAAGTGTTAGACATTCAGTTTTTTTCTCTCTCAATTTCGTAAACAATAGTAATTCCACGAGAAGTTCATGAGTAGAACTTCCTTTGTATTAGCTTTATAAGCATAGCTATATGAGAACATTTTGAGAAGGAGAACGGATTCATCCTACCGTCAGTCATATCAGAGCATTTAGTAAATTATCTAATCATAGTCACTATCTTACAAATTCTTTAAAATACATTTAACTCCAGTTTCTTTGCTTGTTACCAAACAACGATGATAATTAACTGATATATATATATATATTATCTTTCCCCCCCCCCTAAGGACAAAACTCTATTTGATCTAATCATGTACACACACACACACACACCCCTATTGCTAAAATTTGTTTATTCATAAATTATTAATTATATTGTTTTAACCTTAAACAATAAGAGAACAATATTGAACTCCTTTTTCGGCATATCTCATGACTAATAATGCTCAATATTCTCTATGTCTTATATGAATAGATGGGAATTATCTAAATTGAATTAGATATATTGACTTGTATTACTTTATATTGGCTTGTATTGGCTTATATTGGCTTAATGACCTTAATTCTAATAAATATTAATAAAATATGTCAACTACAATTTGTACCAAGAATATACCATAGAATTGAAGGTCTTTTATTCATCAATTAATCATATCTAAATAAGACAAATGCCTTCTTCTTCTTCTTCTTCTTCTTCTTCTTCTTCTTGGTCTTCTCCTTGTTCTTATTCTTCTTTGTTTGAATAAGTTTTGTAGTTTACATCAAGTAATCGGTTTGATTAGAGAATTACAAAACAAAACAAAACAAACAAACAACAAGCTATTTTATCTTAATATAAAACGATTTAGAAGTGGATATATATATAGATAGATACGATCATATGTGTAGGATTAAACTTGGAAAATATTGTGATAAATCTTAGGAAAAGCGGCGTGACTCTAATTTATGGAAGACCTTTGAACGACTCTTAAGTGGCCTTTCAGGAATATTAGCCAATCAGCTAACAGTCAGTATAGAGTAAAAATATGTTATACAGAACCGAGGAAATAAAGTGGATACACTTCTTATACGTGATTCAAAAACTTGTCAAAGTTAGAAAGAGGTTCAGAGGTTCTAAAATCGTAATGACTACAGTAGTGGGAATCATCCATACGGCTACAGAATAGTTGACTTTTGTAGCCATGATAAAGTCTCAAAAACTCTTTCAGCTTCAAACATATAGTTCAATATTGTTTATCTGCACTCTGGTTGTTAATTGCACAAAATGTTACTTGTGGATAATGACACGATGCACATAACCAAGCCTATGTAGGAGTCTGTACGGTCTCCAAACATCTGAATATATTGTAGTACCTGGATGCAGCCAGTGTTACGGGTGCTTTTATTATCCAGTTCGCAATAATTGTCATACTTTGCCTTAGTTAGGAATTATATATGGAGTTTTCATCATGAAATGACACCAGCTATAATGCAAGAAATTTATTTAGCCAAATGGATGAAAGGCTTTCGCGTTAAAATCCGAGATCTATTATCTTATACCTGATTGAATCGTTCACAAATTATATTCTCGCCGTTTGACTTGTTATAGCCGCTCAATTATCACATTTTGTACAAAATTCCTTGTGAACCGATCGTATGTTATCATTAAGCACTAAAGTTGGCGCCGTAACCTTTAAATCACTAAGACGCTTCCGATTGGTTCGTCCATAAATTAGAGTCTTGCCGGAAAAGCATTCAAGTTATTCATTGAGAACATAAACCGATTGATGTTAGATCGCTATTGAAAATCTGGAATTCTCGAAGTTCTAGTAAGAAGCTATGATCAATGGAACTAATCCGTGTCACGTAAAGACAGGTATCTATCTTAATACGATGGAAGATGATAGCGCAATTTCATGGATTAGTTGACGTTATACATTAAAATTGTTGGATGCCGACTCAGTGGTCTAGAGGTTAAGCGTCCGTGAGCGAGACTGAAAGCCCTTTGTTTGAATCCTGTGAATAGGATCGTGGATGAGCACTGCAGACGAGTCCCACAATAGGATGAAACGGGCATCCAGTGCTTCTAGGTTTTCAATAGTGATCTAGCATCAATCGGTTCATGATCTCAATTAATATTTTAATAATCTTCACAACCTTGTACGTAATCAATCAGAATGATTAATTCAATGAAGAGTTTCTGTTTTCGGCCAATACATTTTTAAAACTGTACAGCTTTGAAAATGATCTTTACGAAATGTTAAATTCCAATAATAGAATGAGTGAACGAATAGAATCGATAACATTTTATGCATGACGTTTAATAAAAAAAAGTTCAGATTGGATAAATATGGTTTCTTGGAAGAATTTTCCAGTAGTATTTAGGATATTTGTATATGTTAACTCAATCCTGAAGAAAGATAACCTTCGCATTCACTTCTACACGCTTGATAGAATAACACAGAAACTGATTAAGTTCCTTAACTGTGTAACTTTGAAAATGAATTCACCGAAAAGGGAACTCTTCGAAATGATGGAGAAGATTTCTAGCTCAGGTGGATGATTTTGATAGAGTTTTATTCTTTGAGGTGTTCTATTCTTGATTGAAATTATGAACTGATTGATGTTAGACCACCGTTGGAAACCTGGAAGCATTGGATGGATGTTTCGTCCTATTGTGGGACTCCTTAGTAGTGGGCATCCACGATCCCACTTGTGTGATTCTATTGTCTGAACACGATTAAGCCATCCAGCTCCGAGAGCAAAACTCCATCAAAGAGAACTCTTCACTGAACTAATCTTTCTTATTTAATGTCTTAATGGGTATATACTGTTTATTTAATTAATCAACATGGATAAACTATCTATCCTTATAAGATATCTTATTATTATTATTGTGATTATTTAGAATCCACCACTTCCACGTACAATGACTTATGTAACATCATTATACTTTACACTATCATTAATTACAAGTATTGGTTTTGGTAATGTATCAGCGACAACATTTGGTGAAAAATTAGTTGCAGCGGTTTTCATGCTTATTGGAGGTAAGTTTTAAATTTATAAAATGATGAAAAATCTATAGTCTATTTAATAGTTAAATTGATGATTCGATGTAACCTAAACTATCATTGAAAACCTGGAAGCACTAGACGGACGTCTCGTCCTAGTATGGGACTCCTCAGAAGTTTACATTCATGACCCCATGCTTAGCCTCTAGACCATTGGGTCGATATTCAACAGTGTTAATGTCTAACTTCAACCAATTCACAAAACTGTGCCACCATCCACCATTGTCTTCAATGAGTTACTATCTCATAACAGACAAGGTTGAACTTGCAAAGTCGGTTATTATGATAAGTCCATATGCGTTACTCTAGCTTATTCATTCTAAGCGAGCCATATTTTGACCTTATTAATTGTTCGCTTATCAGTCTTTACTGTCTTTATATGATCGCATATGTGTGTGCCCTTATTATCCCATTCATCACATATCTGTAACTTATTTTTATCTGACATTAAATATTGATTAACGCTGTGTCAAATGGGAGTTGGCTTACTCGCCATCTCGATTGCGCGTCGTTTCGCTTCTCTCTATTCCAATCGCTTGTTATTTGACTTATTTAATTTCATAATTGACTAACGCGATTTAAATCGATGATTACATACGAGGATAGGCGGTAACAAACATTCATATGACCGAATCGGAGTCAGATCCTGGGCCACTAAAGTGGAGAGCCCGTCAACAAAAATCATCCGATCTAAATGACAAAATAAAGGGCCACACTAAAAACTCCACTGGTCACGGTTTCTTACTAGAACTCCAGAAAAATACTTTCTTGAAATCAGTCAGTAGTGAGCACATGATGATTATTATCAGATTGGTGGTTTGTGGAGATTGTAGTAATCTTAATGGTTGAATTCATGAGTCGATTAAAGCTAGACCACTATGAAAAAACCTGTTAGCACTAGATGACCGTCTCGCCCTAGAATGGGACTCCTCATCAATGTACATCCACGAACCTTCATCCGGGATTCGAACCAAATACCTTCGGTCTCATGCGCACTAACGCTTAACTTCTAGACCACAGAATCGGCATCTATTTAAGCTCGTTTATTGATAATTAATTTATTGAAGAATATTTAGCTAATTCAGTATAATTTCAAACAGATTTGAGACATTTTAGTAGTATCTTATGGTTCATATATATATTACTGATAGCCTTTAGTTAGACAATCAGGAAGCACCAGAAAACAATGGACAAATGTTTTTTCTTAGTATGGGATATCATAGTTAGACAACTTGTGGACGACCTTTGAACGGACCTTCAGTGACCTTGAGAAATATTAGCCATTCAGCAAACAGTCAGTATAGAGTAAAATTATACTATACAAAACCAAGGAAATAAAGTGGATACAATTCTTATAAGTGTAATTCGTCCACAAATTATACTCTCGCCGTTTGATTTGTTATAGCCGGTCAATTATCACGTTTTGTACAAAATTCCCTGTGAACCGATCGTACGTTAGCATTAAGCACTGAAGTTGGCGCCGTAACCTTGAAATCTCTAAAGCGCTTCTGATTGGTTCGTCCATATATTAGAGTCTGGCTCTTGTTTATTACTCGTCATCAAATTCTATTTAACAATTATATCAATGTTGTGATATTTTACATTGATCAACTTACAGAGAAACTTTGAATTCTTATTTACTTCATTCTACCTGACTTTTCTTTTTTTCTTTTTCTTTTGTTTCTTTGTTAATAAACAAGCATTTGGTTATGCTACCATATTTGGTAATGTGACAACAATATTTCAAGGAATGTATGCAACACGTTCTAGATATCATGATATGATGGCATCTGTGAAAGATTTCATTAAAACACATAGTGTACCAAAAGATTTAGCTGAACGTGTTATTGATTATGTTACATCAACATGGGCTATTACTAAAGGAATTGATACAGCTAAAGTAAGAATATTATTTACATTTTGTCTTGTAATTAATCTCTGAGTTCTTTATTTACAACTAGTTAGATTAAAAATATAAGAACTAGGAACTATTAGTTAAGTAGAGGTGGATAGTGGCTAGTAGTGGAATCCAGGACGGGCATTTCGTCAGCCAATTGAGATACGCGCGAAACCGAAGTTTCAAAACAACGATTTGTCTACAATAGCAGTTCTTTATTGAATAATACACTAAATTTAGTTACAAACCTCAACTTTTGAGGTGTCTGGGGCGTTTAAACGCGTCCTTCAAGTATGAACGTAAAAACGCTTCCTGTGACAGTAACATAAAAAATAATTATAACATACGATAGTACAAAAGACAGCTGATAGCTGTCTATATTTGATAACAGTTTATGAACAACCGAAACCCGAACCAAGAGCAAAACAATAAGGAAACTGTTGAGTTTAAACGAATGCACGAAACTGTGGATAACCGCTGCAATGATTAAGGTACAGTGATTATAATGATAAATACAATGATAAGTACAATAAACGTAATAAATATATGTGAACATTTTAGAAAATTACACCAAAACTTGTGTTACAACATAGGTTTAAAAATTGTTGGGAACACAACTGCTTACTGAATGTAAATAAGTAGTACAAAACAATATGCAAAAGAAAGGAAAGGGGGCTAGTGGAACAATGTAAGACAAACTTAACAGTACATGTTAGTCAGACTTCCTCTATGAAGATAACTACATAGAACTTAGTCAAGTTTTCACATCTTTGTGTGTTATAGTTTCTCAGTAATCACATGTGCATGCACAGTACTAAAGGAGAGGAATGATGTTATGTCAACTAGATATCGGCTAATTTTCAATGTTAATATTCACTATGTCAATTTACCCATCATCTATTCGTCTAAATTGTTATACATTATCCATCAAACTCAGTGTAGCAGCAGCCTCAGTAGCAGTAGGTCTCAACATACACAAAGGGAAAAGCAAGATTATCCGATACAACACAACATGAAACAATCGAATCACACTGGACACAGAAGCTTTGGAAGATGTAAAAACATTCACATATCTGGGCAGCATCATTGATGAACAGGGTGGATCTGATACAGATGTGAAGGCGCAGATCGACAAAGCAAGAGCAGCATATTTACAACTGAGGAACATCTGGAATTCAAAACAACTGTCAACCAACACCAAGGTCAGAATTTTCGATACAAATGTCAAGACAGTTCTACTGTATGGGGCAGAAACCTGGATTACCACGAAAGTCATCATCCAGAAGATACAGGTGTTTATTAACAATTGTCTACGCAAAATACTTCGAATCCGTTGGCCGGACACTATTAGCAACAACCTATTATGGGAGAGAACAAACAAGATCTTAGCGAAGGAAGAAATCATGAAGTGCTGGAAGTCGGTAGGACACATATTGAGGAAAGCACCCAACTGCGTCACAAGACAAGCCCTCACTTACAATCCTCAAGGTAAAAGAAAAAAAGGACCATCACAGAACACATTACGTCGAGAAATGGAGATTGACATGAGAAGAATGAACAACAATTGGATAGAACTGGAAAGGAAGGCCCAGGACAGAGTGTGTTGGAGAATGCTGGTGGGCATTCTATGCTCCATAGGGAGTAACAGGTGTAAGTAAGTAAGTACGTAATTCATCAAACTACTGATTATCTACTACACTAAAGAAATGTATGTTGTTTTTGCTTTTTGTTTTTTTCTTCTATTAGGTATTAAACTATTGTCCAAAAGATATGAAAGCTGATTTATGTATACATTTAAATCGTATGGTATTTAATGAACATCCAGCATTTCGTTTAGCTAGTGATGGGTGTTTAAGAGCATTAGCTGTAAATTTTAATACAATACATACAGCACCAGGAGATTTAATATTTCATCAAGGTGAAAGTATTGATCAATTATGTTTTGTTGTTTCTGGTTCATTAGAAGTTATTCAAGATGATGAAATAGTTGCATTTTTAGGTAAGTTGTGTAAATTAGGATAATAATAATAATAATAATAATAATAATAATAATAATAGATTTTAATAGTTGACATCATGAGTCAATTGAAGCCAGACCATCATTGGAAAACCCGGAAACATTGGACGGCCGTTTCGTCCTTCTGTGAGACTCCACCTTAGCAGTGTGCACCCACGATCCCGCCTCACGTGATTCGAACCCAGGAACTATCGATCTCTCGCACGAGCGCTTAACCTCTGGACCATTGAATCGGCACCCATTGGTGTCAATGTCTAACTTTAACTATTCCACGAAATTGAGCGACACATCTATTATCCTCAACAGTGCGCATCCACGATGCATACATGAGACTGACAGGTACTGGGTTCAGATAACGTGAGGCGGGATTGTGTATGCGCACTGCTGAGGAGTCCCGTACTAGAACGAAACGTTCATCTAGTATTTTCAGGTTTTCCATGATGCTCTAGCTTCAAATGACTCATGATCTCAACTATTGAAATTACTATAACATCTACAAAAACTCGTAAGCTTGAAATGAAACGAGAGACGTTTCTTAATAATACTGATAGTATGTTTTCCTATCATTCGATTCGTGTTTAAAACATGACAGTATACAGAATATCATGCTAGCCTATGAGAAAAGGAATCTGAGTTCACTTAAACCAATAGGTTTGAAGAAAAAGCAACAGAATAGAACATTTGCAGTTCTTTCACATTTCCATCTACCATAATACAAATGTGATGGATTAAGGTTTTTATTTGACAGCACTTAGCCTATTCACACTATAGATTAAACTTATGACTGAAATATTATTACTAAATAGGTGATGAACAAAATTTATAAATCTATGTAGAAAACAAGTAGCATCTAAACATCATCATCTATTCCATCTAAATGGTCATTGTTGATATCATGGTACTAAACAGAATAAAGTGGAGCAATACAAATGTATCAGGAGTGATAGGTTCCTCTCTATCTCATAAACCATCACTCATCAACATAAGAAGTAGTAATCAAGTTATACATACTTACGTGTTAGAAAATGTGTCTAAACGGTTTGAAATTCTCTTGGATTTCATGTATTAAATAAATAGATGTAGTATGTAGTTATATTCTATTATAACCAAACAAACGATTGAGGCACATCCATCTTTCGGTTTCTTAAACATTTAGGCATTAGGAATCGAGGCCTACATTTTCTTCTATTCAAATATAACTCGTTCCACCTTTAACTTACTCAGATAATCCTTCATTCCTTCCCACTGTCAAAAATGGTATCGAAATCTTTTGACATTATACCGTATATGTTTAGCAAAGTAAATAAATCAAGCAGGTCATACATGTAAACCAGCATGAATTCTGTATTACTCAGACAGACTTAATCTTCTTATTACGTTCCCTACAAATGTAATAGCCGTGAGTTGTTTGATGTATTTTTAGTATCGGAAATATTTTAGCAAATAACGTTGAGCTACTTGTAAGTAGTTAAACTTTAAAAAGAGAAAAACTGTCCAATTCATTTTAATATCCAATATTATTCTTGTAAATAGAGTAAACGATTGGTGATATAACCTTATTATCATTTCAGTTTTTCTCCAACTATACTTCCGGTAACGTGTACTTATGATCTTCACTTTTTGGTGAGACTATAATTTAGGGACGAACCAATCAGATATAAGATAACAGATATATTGGATTTTGACGCGAACTTCATTCATCCATCTGGCCAAATAAAGTTTTGGCATTTTAGCTAATGTTAGTTCGTGATGAAAAACAGTAAATCTAATTCTTACCCTAATAGCAACTGTGAATTATAATCCATATCCTTCAAACTGCCTTATAACCCTCATTTAGCTTTAGTAAGTAGGTAGACACTCTCAAAGTCAGTTAAGCGTCGCTCAACGGTCGTCCATAAAATATAGTCTCATCTAAATTTTCACTATTAACTTACTTGATTATCATCTTCTAGATATTGTTTAGTATGAGAAAATTTGTTCAGCTACCACTGATGTTATCTTTCTCATTCTCAGCATATCTGAAATTCAACAGTGATAATTTCCCATGAATTATGTTTCAAATTGTCTTTAACTTCAATCATTCGTGAATAATCGCTGATAATTAGGATGTAATGTTTATTAAAGAGATAAGTTGGAAACCATCATTCACAACAAACTAATAAAGAATATCGAGTGATCTTAAGATCCTAGATTTCATTAGTTAGAGGGTCTTAGATGATTATTGACGAAGAATCATATATAAGGAGATACCAGCTATCTAGCACTCCTTGGCTTTTTAAGTATTCAGTAGTTAAAGTCAATTTCTTAAGTTTGAACAATCTTTATCAACATCTCATACTAAGAATCCTTCAAGTGTAAAGTTCTGGATATTCTTGTATTTCTATTAGAATTAATTTAAACTATTTTATAAATAATACTTATGTTATTAACTTGTCAATCGAATGCTACATGTTATATCAGGTCGTCGCTGATTGTTATGTCAGAAACGCCTATCACTTATAGTCGAAACGAAGAACCGCAGCATTTCCTACGACGCAAAAGTAAAAACATAAAAATTGGTATAAGTGAACACGACGACGATGACAACCTTCAATGAACAAGACATATCAACGTACTTTTTTCTGGTTAGCGTATTTTTTTAGCGAGTTAGTTTCCTACAGGATCGAGTCACTAATCCCATACCCAACCTTCCTACTTTATTCGAGCTTGTGACCGACAGTAGCCCCAGGGGAACTCCAGACGGAGTTATTTTATAAATGATTCAATGTTTCACTATAGTTAATGTTATTATTTATTCATAATATGATTAGTATAGTTATATGAATAATCATTATCTTCTCATTGTTATTCTTTGTTCAACTAATCATTTGAATAAT